ACTAACCATTTCAAAGACCAAGGGAATTTATCTTTGTTCTATTTTGCAGATCATGGCTTCTGCTCGTATAAACACTATCTGAATCAGCTTTGTGAAGATACCTTCCCAACTCAAAGAGCTAGCATCAAGGGTTTCTGAAACTTCTGCGTTCACTAAGAGACATGGTCGACTTCTCAGTCTGGTCACTTCAAACTTTGATGAAAAGATGATGAGTGTACTTTTTCAGTTCTTCGATCCCAAGCACCACTGCTTCATCTTTCCAGACTATCAGTTGGTGCCTACCTTGGAAGAATTCTCTCAGCTATTGGATATACCCATTCTTGAACAGTTTCCCTTCACAGGTCTAGAAGAAGTTCCTAAGCCGTAAGTCGTTGGCTCAGCTTTGTATCTGAAACGGGTCGACGTGGTATTCAATTGGGAAACCAGAAGCGGAGTCAAGGGTTTTCTAGCAAAGTTTCTGATAGACAAGGCCCAGCTGTTTTGGGATGATATGGATTTTCAGGCTTTTGAGGAGGTCTTGGCTCTTCTAATCTATGAGTTAGTCCTATTCCCTAATCCAGACTCATTTATAGATGTGAATGCTATCAAGATTTTCCTCTCTTGCAACCCTGTGCCTACCTTGCTCAGAGATATTTTGCACACTCTCCATACTCATACCATGAAGTGAAGAGGGATTCTTATGTGCTGCATGCCATTGCTGTCTAGGTGGTTTATTTCTCACCTCCCTAAGTTCGTACTGAAGAATGAAAAAGGTTTGGGTTGGTCGCAAAGGGTAATGTCACTTGCTCATACGAATATTCTTTGGTGTTCTCGAGCTATGGAAAACACAACTATTTTTGACCGCTACGGGGAGTACCCTAATGTCTCGTTGCTTGGTATTAGAGGAGGTATAACCTACAATCCTTGTTTAGCTCTGCGACAATTTGGTCACGCTCGAAGGGATGGCCCCCATGAGTTACTTATCAAGGGCATTGTATTCAACTATGAGGATGATGTTAAAGAGTATCGTCGGAGGTCCATACGAGCTTGGGGCATGGTAAACAGATCTGGCGCCAGGGCTTTGGGGACAAAGACTTCCATTTCTATGGAACCTTACCTCCAATGGGTACGAACTCGGGCCCATAAGCTTATGATGCCCTATGTGGCCGTTTTACCAGTGATTGTGGAACCCACTACTGAAGAAGGTATTCCTTACACGGTTCTCTATCCTTACATGCCCACTGATCTTGGGGAATTACAGAGGTCTTGGATTCAGATGATGAAGGAGCGGGACACTTACAGGGATCAGTTCCATGCTAAGGAAAGGAAGGATTTAGAGCTCACAAAGCAGCTCCAGGAAGAAAAAGGACTCAATGATTATCTCAGCACAAAGAGAAAGCATCCATGGGACTTTTGATCTTCTTTTCTAGTTTTGGATTTATTTTTAATTGTAACGCCTAAAAGGCATTTTGAACTTTCAAATTCAGCTAATAAAGTTTTTGTTTATTTTGGTTTTCAAATTTAAATTTCCCGAAGTCTTTGAAATCATTGCATGCGCATCCCATTATCATAAACATCATTACAGGTACCGTTTTAGGTTTATCATCTTCTTCGCTGTTTATTTCAGCACGAAATGTCTTCCGAGCAAACCATCAAGGACCTTCAGGCATAGAACACCCAGTTCCAACAAATGTTCACAAGTCTGGAAAAAGGGCAGGAGGATCTGAAAGCCCTTATCCTGAAAGAAAAGAAGAAAAAGAAGAAGGTTGCCGGTATTCTGAATATGGGCAGAAGGTTTGGAGAGCAGTTGAAGCGACAAGTCGATCTGACCTTTTCATCTAAGGAAGGGGAGAATCAGGAAGAAGAGAAAGATCCCAGTCCTATAGTGTCTGACAATGATACCGATTACAATGATGAGCAATATCCTCCTGCTGAGGATAAATACAAACAGTTGGAAGATCATCTAAGTGTCATGGAAGTTTAGAGGATACCTAGATTGGATTTCGAAGAATTGGGATTGGTGTCGGGAGTGGTCATCCCGCAGAAGTTCAAAGCTCCAGCTTTTTCTAAGTATGATGGGGTGTCATGCCCAAAAATCCATCTCCGTTCTTATGTCAGAAATATCCATCCCCACACCGCTGATAGAAACCTGTGGGTTCATTTCTTCCTGGAAAGATAAAATCAACAAGTTAGCAAACCCTAATTTAAGACAAAACAATGCATGTAAATCAACACACTTGCACACTTGCATCCTTAGGGTAATTTCATTTTGTTGCCTTATAAAAATGGCCATGTTATGCATGTGGGATATCTTAGCAAAGCAATCAAGAAATACAAGATCATAGTCCCTCTATGACGCTATCAATGTTGCCTTTCAAAATGATCTTAGTCCCTCAAAGAGAATTGTTAAGATATTTCACAATATTGCTATCGTGGCTATACGATGATCCATGCCCGTCCCTTTACATCCAAAGATAAGACTTCTTACCAAATCAATGGTAGGATAACAATATCAAAGGAAAGAAAGAAATGAACTAAGACTTTTGAGTAGGTAGATTATTCCTAGTTGCTTGCTCAATTTCAAATCAAACACTCTTGCCTATTTTCAAAATAAATACCAACACTTTCAAAAACACTTTCAAACATTTTCCAAACATGAAACATTTTCAAAAGATCAACACTTTGTATACGTTCTTACGAACGAGAACTATTACAAAGTTTGCCTAAACGATGGCGCATTTTCAAAATACTTTCAAAAACCACACAAAGCACATTTTCAAACAAAAGCAAGTGATCTAGCAAGCAACTAAGAGTCCATAGATAACTATGGATGAAAAGGGTTCTAATACCTTCCTTTATCATAATCTACCCCCCAAACTCAAGAAACAATCTCAAAGGTCTTTCCTGTTCTTTTCAGTCTTTCCTTTTGGATAAAAGAAAAGTCGGTGGCGACTCTTACTAACCGCAACATTTGCGATAAAACGCAAAACAACCAAGTCAGTTCTCCCACCGTATCACAATGTCGTGTGAAAATAATTATATGATGATTACATGAATGATGATGCGTTTTGACTAGTAGTGGTCATGTTTATTTTTGTTGTTGAGCATCATGCACTCATGGCATATGTTAGGGCGTTGGCTCCGTGATGTTAGGATGTTGGTTCTGTGATAATTTCTAGGATATTATTCTAGTGACGGTCTCAATCCTATGAATGCAATTTTGTGAAGTGCTCCGTTTTCAAGCAGGAATTGATCCTATGGTGGAGATCTTTAGAGAAAGATGACTTGGTCATCAGTGAAGTTTTGGTACCACATGTATGAGTCAATGATGTTGTATTGTATTACATGTGATATTGCATAATGATTGATTAACTTATGTTGATGATATTGTGATCTCAGTGGTGTTTGATGATTATATGTGGAATCTATTATGATTTATTGTTGTGCTACTACTATATCTATTTCATATATTTTTTATAATAATTTGTGATTACTCACCCTTTCTGTTTGGAAATGTTTCCTCATACATTGGTAACTTGCAGGTAATCAGGAATAGTCCGTTGAAGCTTAGAGGATAGCTTTGGGGTGGTTCTTTATTTTCTATTGAATAAGTGGGTCTTACTTTGATATGTAACATCGGGGTTGGAGTCGTCTGTTTAGATAATTATGTTCTTTCTTTTATTTTGAGATTTTGAACTACCTTTCATGGTATTGAAGTTATTTAATTTATGAATTGTAAACGATGAAGCACGATGAAGTTCCTATGAAATATTTAACAATAATGTTTTGAAACTATGAATTCTACTGCGAGAAGTTGAAATGTCATTGTTGTTATTCATGAAGTATTTGTTATAATTGATTTTAAAAACCCGTGTTACGGAGCAAGATATGTATGTATCAGGTTTATATGAAGATGTGACATCCTTGTTGGTGATTCTATTTGAACTATTTTCGTAAATTATATGTGAATTATATGCGGGTTTAGAAGGGTGTTACATGATGTATGAAAATGAACCATCTACATTAAATGACATATCCTAAATCTTTCAAGACTAAATTAACCCGAGGTTTCTTGCCCCCCGGTTGCGACTGGGAGTACCCGACTTCGTCGACCATACCTATGACATCTAATTAAATGAAAAGCAATAAGGCATTGGATATGTATATGTAATAAAAAATGGTAACAACATATATACCATATAACAATACCTATAAGGAGATTTGTATGCCATTTTCCTGATATGATATCAACAAATAGGGTGACAACAAATAGGGTGAAGTTAATGATCTTATTACGGATGTCGTGTTTGCCGATATTTTCTATGGTTGTCCCACTGGTGAATTTCAAGAGATATTTGTAGTTGGTAGGTCTAAAGATCAAATTATTTTGCTGAATTTAAAAGTTTGAGATGATGCAAGTCATGTTAACCGATAATGCCAAGTCAAAAGCTTGTCTAAACATTATCGGAACAACGACATGAATGTCTTAATCCTGGAATATGTAAATGAGTTTAATCAATAAAGAGACAAATCGAGAAACCGACAAATACCATAAACCACAAAACAAACCATCACAAAACATACACATACACCACAAATACCATAATAAAACAAAACATCAACAATAACTTAAACCACAAATACCATAATATACATACACCATTAAACACCGTTAAACAACACAAATATGAACCGAGACACCATAAAACATATAACATAGATTAGTAAATACAGAAATGTCAACCTCATAACACCAACCTACGAAATTGACAAATATATGGTAAAGTAAAACTGCAGCTGGTAAGAAAATTGTAACTCGCATTTTTGTCTACAACTACAATCTCAAAATGTTTCTTCGTAGTTGAAGTAACCTTCCATTTGTGGTGTATCTTTACAACGACCTTCCACAACTTTTTTTTGGTCGTTGATGCCGTTGATCATCTCGAAAGGTATCGCCATATCAAAACTCTTCTACATAAATGGATCTTCTGGCTGAAACTAACAGCAAAAATGAGAATGAATCAACAGACGTCCCAACCTCCAAGCATTGAGGTAAAAGTTCCACCACCATTAGCATGTGCATAATCAAGAATTGCTTCTCTAGCACACCTTTCCCACACTCTTGCTATATCCTTAATCAACAGTGGTTCGTTCATTCTTCCAACATTAAATCTCAGCTTTTCTTTTGCTTTCTCGGATAGAGCTCTCACGTCATCACTGCACGAAATTCAAATTATATAACAACTATAAATTACAAACATAATCCCTGAGTTTTTGTAAATTTTAAACTACTTAGAACTAGATGCATAGTTGCTCAAAGGTATAAATGAAAGAGAATAGAATCATAGTCTCTAACCTGACTTTCAACGGCAATTCGTCCAGAATAACAAGAGAGCAGGACGGATAACTTGAAGGAATAAGCAATCGTAGGGGTTCGATCAATGACTGCAGAGCCAATATACATAGTTAATGAGATGAAAATCAAAATTCTATTTCCGAATTGTTTGAAACCAAATATAAAATCATTCACCTTTTTATCAGCAATAAAGTGAGATACAAGGTTCTGATTGATAGTCACTGCATTATACAGGATTTTAACAACTAAACCTTCACTTTGATCAGTACCTATTCCAATCACACTTTTAGCGTCATCCTTTTCAGCGATAACCACATCACAATCGAACAATCGATTGTTTATGTCTTTTATTTCTGCTAAAAGATTCTGATTTTCCTGCTAAAGTTAACAATGTGATAGCAAAATTCTTGTAAGAGAAAAAATAACTATATACTTTTCTAGTAGATTTCAATGGTAAAAAATATAAGGATTACCACAGTTAGAGAGCATTTTTCTTTTGTTGTGAAAGAATTCAAGTCAGATTCCGTAGTGTAAGTGAACTGATCGAAACCTTTACATGCTAGGAGTATCAAAGGTGGTTGCAACAAAGCTGCGAGGCATTTTCCATCCTATGGGAACAAATCATTGCAAGTCACAATCTTGCTAATGAACATGCATCAATATCAAATGCAAATTTAACATTTTAGTGGCGAGAGCGCACCTCCGGGAGTAATGTAGATTGGTAGTCCTTGTTCATCAACCATCTCTGGTATTTCATCATTCAAATGAACCACCTCTTCGATTTCACCAACTGCTGCACTCAGTGCTTCAGGCGAAACGGAAGTCAACTGAAAGCAATATCAGATTCATAGATTTTACTACGTATCAGCACACAACTTTTATGAGTCAATGAAACCACAAATAAGGAGCAGACACAAGTTTTAAAGGCCAACCGCTCTAATCAGCTTCTGCATTGCATGACTTTGCACTTCAGTGTTGTGAAATCCTTGATTTTGATCATTGCTTTCTTTAATCAAGGGTAAAGTCCTCCTAGTGTTGGTCCTTGTACCAAATGCTTCAGTTTCCGAAATTCTTGGAGCGTTGTTTTTTACACCAAATTCTTGGAGTGCAATGTTTGTCTGTTGTTTGACAGCATTGCACTGGCCTAAGATTGAAATATATATAAAAATAAATGTTTGCTAGCAACCTAACATAGAAGGTCATTTAAAATTCTACAAAAAAGCGTAAACTAACGGTTACCTTTTACTATTGGCGATTGATTTATAATACTGTCTTGTGAACTGCCAATTGGCATTGCAACTCGGTGATCTTGAGAAACCATATTGTTCTGCCAAGAAATTTGTTGTTAAATGAAGTTTAGTTTTTTCTAATACTTGCGCTAAATGGTGATAGTTATGTTTCGAATATTACCGGTTGAGAAATTATAGAATTGGACAGGCCAAACAGTTGCTTGGGTTGCACATCAGGTGACTGTTGCCTGTTGGCCTGCTTGTTGAGAGCAATTAGAGCGTTTCGTATATATTCCTCTGCTTTTCTTGCTTGATCCTTCATATCAGCAGTGATCTGGCTTTTACTCAGTTCAAAGAGTGAAAGAATATTTTCCAATCGACTCTTATGTTTAATATGTCGGGGCAATTCTCTTGAAGGATCAGCCTAAAGAAATTTAATATAAATAGGAAAAATTAGTAGTAAAATTAGAAAGAAAGCATGCAATATAGATTGAAAAATTCACAAACCTGAAGCTCTCTACAACATTTTCGGTAAAGTGAATAGACTGCATAATAATATCTTTGTTTCAGAAATTGAAGCTGCAATGAGAAAGTAACACAATATTTACAATGAACAAGAAGAGAAAAAAGTTATTAAAAACCAAATACACACACCTTAATCACGCAAGAAAGAAGAGAAAAAAGATTAGTGAGAGTGTGTTGGTTGTTACAATCCAAGTCTTCAAAGAAAACACGCATGGAATAGTGACGGTTCAAATAAACACTAAACTCAACATAGTGAGGGACATATCTGCAATTTCAATCATTCTATTAATAATTTCTCTATTTTAATTTTTAGTCCTCCAAGTTTTTAAAATTCGAATATTTGGCCCAATCCTTAGGTTTGAAAAAAAAAGTACTCACCATTTTTGATTCACGTTGCCGGCCCTAAGTCGGACGTTCTGTTTCCAATATGCATTAATAAAAAAATTGGCACTAACTAATTTATCTACTCATGTATTTTTCTTTTTGAAAATGTGAGACAGATTGAATATAAATGCCGTGCACATGCATTTTTCTTTTTGAAAATATGAGATATAGTAAATCTAAATGAGTATATAGACGGTAAAGTATTCTTCCGTTTAAGTAAAATATATCAAGGGACAATATTTAAAATAGAAAATGCATGAATGATCAATATTTAGTCTCTTTTAAGTCAAATATTTCTCCAATTCTTCTTGTTAGCATATTTGATAGCAAGCATGGTTACATCTAGTTCATTAAGCTTGAAAGGAGGTGCAAAGTCCAATCTTAACAAAAAGCTCTCAAGAATATTCCTAAATATGCCATCACAAGTTTATATTACAGTATTTCTGCTTGAAGCTCTATTTGTGTTGCACTTAATTCAATTATGATTAGGAAAACACTAATTAACCTTTATTGTTTTAAGTACACGAGGAGGCCTACATTTGATGTCAAAATATTTAATAATTGTGAACTTGTGAGTTAAAGAGTACATGTGTCCCTCAAAAGAAATATATGACATGTAGACCAATTGTTTAACATAAAAAATGTCTATATCAAAGTCAATGTCATTATTTTAAAACTTAGTACAATTTCTTGTGTACCATGTTTTCCAAAGAATTATTACAATGAGAGGCATTATCAAATTCTAAATTTGAGAGTTCTAACTTCCACCAGCAAATTTGAAAAAAATATTTATAACTAGTTGTATTAATGTCCATGTCAAACAATCACTCCATCTAACACCAAAAAAGTAAATCGTATCAATATATAAGAGAAATAAGTGGTTTATACTTTCCAAGTTGTTGTACCCCAAAATTTGCCCTCTCATTTTACTCAATACATGCTCCTAGAGATCCTCAATTTGCTCAAATTTACCCAAGAGTTGACCAGACAAACTCTCTCCTAAGACAGTGTGTCTCAAATTAGGGTTTCCATTTTCATCAAGATGTGTGGATCACAAAGGCCCCAAATGATCTCCAAGGCCCTAATATGTTCCCAAGATTATCCATGTCAAGTCTCATGCCTTGCACAAGAAGTTTGCTCAGTCAACTGCTCAGATGCTTGAGAATCGTCTATATTAGGTCAAAAGTCAACTGTGACCCACGTATAATCAAACTTCAAGATTTTTGATCAACATCCACATTTTGAATTGAATTTCATCATTTTATCAAGGATTGACCATGACTCCCCAAGGAATGATTCAAATTCATCAAAACCCAAAAGTTGCTAAATTAGGGTTTCTTAGTAAAAGTCAACCCATCTTTGACCAAGCATAACTTCCACATGCTTTATCAGAAATTTTCCATCCAAAGCTCATTTCAAAGATAATCCAATTCCCTACAACTTCTCTTCAGCCATCAAGTTCAAGAAATGCCCCAGTTAAAAGATACAAGCTCAGACATTATAGGTCCTTTTGAAAAGTCAACAAAAACACCTTTTGGGTCAAAACTTCATACATGAACATGGAAGATCCAATTGAGATGAAACAAAAAGGGTTGGTTAGAGGACACCCTAAGCTTTCTAAAAAGTCCAAGAACACCTCTCTAGGGTCAAAGTTGAGAGAGTTGTGCATTGTCAAAGTTGGCAAATTTTGGAAAATTGTCAAAAGTCAACATTGATCAAATTGGCATTTTTTCCAAAGGGCCCCATGTTTTCTTGATTGAAACATGTTTCTAATAGGACCCACGACCCCTGAGCTTTTCCACCTATTATTTTATTACTTTTATCATTTATTTTGATTTTTTATTCATTTAAATCAAAATAAATCAAATTAAATGGTAAAATAATGAAATCAAATCAAATCATGGATTTTTTGTGCATCTTTTGAGTCCATGACAGCTAGCATGATGACCAATTCGTGCAAGATTCATTTGAATTGGAAAAGATTGGATTGAAGCTTATTTTGGGAAGATATCATACAAAGAGCAAATTAAATCACTTTTTCATTATTTCTCAAGATATGATGCAATTTTATTGACCTAATTCGCTCTCTTATATGTATTGAACAATTCAAAATCAAAAGAACAAGGGTTGCAATCATGAAAAAGGGCAAAGCAAACTCAAAATTTTTGACAAAAAGTGAGGTTCAAGTTCTGGGATAAAGGGCTATTCAAGACGACTCAAAGCCAGAAATCAATTCTTTGGCATCTCAGGAAGCATTCCCAACCATTTGCAGGCTTCAAAACATCAAGAATCCTCGCATAGAAGTATCACGTGTAGGAATCAATACTTACCATTGTTAGGGTTTGAGGTCACAATTTGGGGATCCCTGGTACAGGTTAAATTAGGCAAAAAGAAGGGTACCATGGTGTTCACAAGATCAAAACGTGTTGATCTGTATAGTTAGATTTCATTTATCTGGCGTTTTTGTGGATTTTTGAATGTGAGAGGGCTATGGTTACGAACATTTTCCGTAGGTAAAAGGTCATCACCTAATACGACGGAGCCCTGGAGAAGATGGTTAAGTGGCAGCCAACCATTGGAGCGTTTGAATCTCGCGCATTTTCTGATCCAACTATCTTGTTTTATATATTACGTTTCGTTTTCATTATGTTAACAAATAACCATTATAGCGCAGCTGGCAACATGGCATTGTCATAAGGCATAAGGACCTGGGTTCGATCCCAGGTCCAGACAACTTTCTTTATTTTCTTTTCCTTCCACAGATCCAGTGCAAATCTCTCTCGTATGCCTACCATGCGCCTCAACGTCCAGCCACAGGATGTACTGCTACCCAGATCCAACGCGTTTCAGCCTGAAGGACTATGATACACCTCAAGTCAATACCACACAAGATCTAGCATGGTCAACATGGGCTCAGCTTGGTTGGGCCTGGAAATTCAGCTTTGCACCCCCTTCGGTAATCCATCACAAGCCCAAGTTATTATTTTTTATCTTTTTTTAATTTATTTATTTTCCTTTTTTATTAACACAAAATTTATTTTTTTATTTAATCACAAAGTTAACAAATCACAAAAATCACAAAAAATCACAAAAAAAGATTTTTTTAATAATAAATTTAATTAATTTTTCCCAAAAAAATACACCAAAATCATTTTTCTCATTAAATACTTCTTTTTAATTAAATTAGTAAATTAGGTTAATTAGTTTCTTTCATAATTAAAAAACAATTAGAAATTAGGTTTAATTAATTTGTAATTTAATTGTTTTCTCAAATAAAAATCCACAAAAAATACTTTTCCTCACTTAGAGTTTTAGGTTATTTTTCAACCGTCCTCGTATTTAATTCGCCGCACGCTTGTTAATTATTTTGCCATTATTTTGTAACTGCTAAGGGTTTGTAATAGTTAAATTAGGGTTTTATTTACTGCTTTAATCCCCAATTTTTTTAGTTATGTAATTAACCCCCATCCCCCGAAGCCTTGTAATAGTTAGGTTTATTTTTTCGCACTTTTTAATTCCTGCAAATATTTAACTGTCTAGATGTATGTTAATAGAATTGTATGGCAAGAATGTCTGGAAATTTAAAACGGTAGATCACCTAATTTGCAAAGATTAAATAACTGAAACAAATAATATGCACATATTTCACTCTTAGGGTTTATCTCACTTCGGTTGCCTTCGGTAAACAATCATTAAGCATAGGAGATTTTAGTGGTTGCCCTCCTGTCTAAAAGATCAAATTGTCCCATTCGAATGTTGCCTCAGAAATGTTGCCTCAGAAAGATCTTAAGACTCTAGGGTTACTACTAAAGTTTTCTAACTATTACTTTAGTGATTGTACTTGTCCCTTTCGAATGTCCTTTACAACTCCAACGATGGTGCTACCTATTCCTTAATAATAGGATAGCGATGTCTAAAGGAAAACGAACAAACTTTTTTCGAGTAGGTAGAATCTTATGTACTTGCTCAATAAAAACTTTTCACACAAACACCTTTCAAAACAATTTTCAAAACAAACTTCGTCACACCCTTGAGGACTGATACAAGGGTTATCACGAAGTAAAACATTTTCAAGACAAACACACACAAGCAATTTGAAAAAATGAGCAAGTACCTAAGAGCCTGTAGATAACTACGAATAGAAAGAGTTCTAACACCTTCCCTTTCTATAATCTATCCCCGTACTCAAAATATCTCGAAAAAAGGGTTTTCCTGTTCTTTTTCCCTTTTCCATGATTGGATGAAATAAAAGTCGGTGGCGACTCTTACTTACCGCGACATTTTGCGAACAAAAAACGCAAAATGCAAACCAGTAAAAACAGTCGGTTCTGCCACCGTATCACAGAACTGGCGACTCTGCTGGGGAGTAAATAAGTGGGGTTTACCTTAGGATCTAGGTCATTAAAATTGCTTCTCTTAATTGTCTTGATTTCTTTACTTTTGAGGGTTTGTTTAGGGTTACTATAGATCCTACACCCGGATCTGGGGGCACTCTTTAGGTAAACAGCAATAGATCGTGGAGACTGTACGGCGTAGACCGATATGGTTTAAGCGATGGCTGTGTTGGTGTGGCACTTTGGTTGGTACTGGTATCCTTCGTGGGGAAACGAGGAGAATACAGGGCCACCGTATGGTGTCGTGAAGCACTAACGGACCTTAGAACCTTAGTTGAAAAAACATGGCCATTAGAAAGTAGTGAGATAGCCGGCCTCGGTGTAGAGCTGAGGATTGGTTGATACTCGATGCTACCCTCATTGAGATCAGACTTTCGGGATATTTCGGCCGCAAGAAAAGATTGATTGAGCTGAAACAATGCCCGATAAAAGGAT